GGAGTGGAACAGGTGAATCAATTGAAATACACTGCAGAGGGGAGCGGGGGCGGGGGGGATAGATTGGGCTATGTGCACGTGGGGTAGCCCCCTAGCTGAGGACTGAACAGGCGGGAATCGAACTCATGCGGAAGTGGCTTTAGCTTCTCAGTGCTGTGCTTTAACCCGCTGCGCTACCAGGGAGGGCCTAAACTTTCTTTTATATATAGGCCATGCTATACTTTTATTCCCTTCTTTTTTTTTCAACTCGGGTATAGGCCAGAGGTGCAGGGGGTGAGAGCTTTGCCAGAGACAGAGTAGGGAGTGGAACAGGTGAATCAACTGAAATACACTGCAGAGGGGAGCGGGGGCGGGGGGGATAGATTGGGCTATATGTTATCTCCCTGGCCTGACATTGAATTCATGACCAAGCAATGATGATGACAGCACTGAGACTTAACCCCTTGGCCACCAGAGGTTCTTCTTGACTTTTAATTCTTTCTGCAGGAAGGAAGGATCCATGTGGTTGCTGGATGAATTCTCAGAGTTGATCTCCTCAAATTACTCTGCTATTTCAACTGAGAACAATGAAGTTTCTGGGGGCCAAAGAAAAGCTTTAGTCTTTCCCCTAATCCAAGGACTATTTTGAAAGCTTTTGAAATTACTCCAGGGCATATGCTGTCAGTTGGGAATTACCCCAGCAGTCTTACATCCTCAGCACATAAAAATGTGCCTTTCCTCACCTGGACTTTGACGGGTTCCATCCAGTGCTCCAACGTGTCAGCAGTGATGTTCTCAGGTAGAATTACAGGATCACTAGGAGGGATGATACATGATGGGGAACACACTGCACCTGAAAGAACAGAAATTTACAGCAGAGACTTGACTTTCCTCATCTCAGTATTTTTCATCCGGAAACCGATAGCCTTGTTTTCAAAGGCATTTTCTTTCTACATTTTGGGTCACATTATGAAGAACATGGCCACACTATGAAGGATAGTTGCCTAATGTATATCTATAGAGATATTTCTTTGCTAAATGATAAAAAGTGATTAAAAAAAGACCACCCCAGGATTCTCAGGATTGGTCTCCTCTTCAAGACGCTCCACTCAGAGAGATTACTTTGAGCTGAGAACAAAGAGAGCTCTGGAGGCTAATAAGATTTTGCCTTTCCCATACTCCTTTGCCATCTCCAAGTTGAAGAAATGATCACTTCTTTCTGAGACTTTGCCATATTAATGATCAAAGAAGATATCATCTCTATCTTTAGTGACCTAGAAGAATACAGTTTGGGGGGTATTGCTCAAGTAAAGGTGTGTCAGTATTATTTATTATTATTAAAACCTCCCTCCTCACTCCTTTATCCCGTGGTTTAGGATTTAAGTTCTATTCTCCCTGACCTAAAATGAGACCTGCATAATCACTGCAGTCATCCTGTTCAATTATTCTAATTGACCTTTTTTCTCTGTCAACTTATCTGATGATGGAAAGAACCAAGAAGGGTGGGGGAATTTTCTCCTGCATCTTAAATAGTTTCTAATAAGGAAAGTTATGATATTGGGGGATCTATCTTGGGATAGAGAAATAAAAATATCTGTCTCTTTACAGCTTACAATCACACTAAGTTTAAATAACAAATCCCTACCCAAGAGATTTTGCTTGTGAATTGTTAGCTACTAGAAATGCAAGATGCATATTAGGTATCCCTGAGGATATTGGGCATGAGATATGAGTAGTGACCCCAACAAAAGCTGCTGTCTCAAGTCAACACCTCTTACCCAAAGTGACCCTCCCTTCTGATATGATACAACTGCTCCTCTGGCATCATGGTCATGCCATGGCCCAGTAATCAAAAGAATAACTCCTAGCAGACTTCCAAAAACACACTTCAGGGCTCTTGCCAGCCAGTTTACCTTGATGACTTGACACCTTTTAAGTACATTTAAATTCATTTCAACTTATATGATTTTTCTGGATTAATTGTAGTGTATAGTTTCTCAGAATTGTACTAAGGGAAAAATGGGCCAGAAATCATAAAGGTAGATTTATAATGACTATTACAACAATGGAGATCATTACAATACACTGGTAGCCAAGTAACTCGTGTAACTGAAAAAAGAAGCAACATGAAGTCAGAAGCAGAGATTTTGCTTATTTGTTCGCCTCTTGAAGGAGAATCTTGCCCTATTTCCTTTTATGTGGGGTCCAAATGTCTTCTAAATTTTTACTCTCAAGGTCCTGTTTCTTCATGTATAGACTCGGTGATCTCCAGGTGCCTTTAAATTTATCTCAACCTGTATTTGTATGTTTTTCACTAACTTTCATCATAACCCAAAGAGCTATGTGACTCTTACAAACTCTGTGCAGATGAGTACGTGCTATTCTGAGATTAGAACTTGTTCATGAAATACCACAAAAACACAGTCTAAGCACCCCAATATTACATGCCTGAGGAAGCGATATCTCAGTGCAAAAGCAATTTGAAGATGGTAAAGAACCATCTCAGATTCTAAGGAGATTTCTAATTAACTTGGTTTATATGCAATAATACTATAGATTAAACTTATAAAATCACTCCTTATTTGTGCAATTCAGAACTTAGTAATCATGAAATATTTTCTATAAACATGATCTTTTTTTTCTAGGATGCTTAGGTCCAGCTAGTACAAAGTTGAGTCAACATCACTATAAATCAACTCTAGCTATAGACACCTTTCATTGTGATTATTTGAATAGAAGTTGTCCACAGGCCCTGGAGCCTGGTCTGATGAAGAGAGTAAAGCAAGCAAATGCAAACTCAAGCCATTCCAGGGACTCTCTGCTCCAGCAAAAACAAAAGAGAGAATGGAGGAGTCCAGTGCATGTGTGGTGTGTGGCTCTTGGAAGTCTAATTCTTGACACTCATCAATTCACTCTCAGCCCACCACGATGTGGGTTAACAGGACCAGACACTATGCAAATGGCTTAGCAGCTACGCTGATGTCATATACAAGTGAGAGTAAAGAGAGTAAATTTGCCATAAATTTTCCTGAAGCAGCTCAGAATCAACTTGCATTTGTATCCACGCTTCTGGGATCCAAGATCCAGCTGTACCTAATTAAAGGGTCACTTGAGAGCAGAATTCAGCAACCCTACCCAAACTTACCAATCCCATATCCCTGTACACACTTGTACTCCACAAAATTCAGCTCTTTGGGGGGTGGGGGGCATTCCCCTTGTAAGTTCTCACATAACTTGAACTCCTCAGACCACAGACCCTTCTCAGTGCAGTGGATGGGACGCTGGAATAAAAAAAGATAAAGAACATTTCTAGTATTTTTGGCATGAGGAAAATGATTACAAGAAGTGTTCACTAACGTCTAGAACCTATAGAAAAAGACATCAATGAAATAGTAAACCATGTTGTAACTGATCCACAGCAATGTTCAAAGTGATTTCTCTTCTGTTCTCATGTGACAGAAATGTACAATTTTGTCACTCATAAAATGGACCGGCAACAGGTTTTCTTTTGGACATGGGATAAGATAAGCTATCAACTATAGCTTATGTATTTTGAAATGTTTTTTGGAATTTGTCCCCAGGTGGTGTTGTTTTACACTGACTTATTCATACTATCACACAAAGGCTGCTGGTGTCAGAATTTTTTCAAGATGAATTTGATCCAGTGAAACCAATTCATAATTTTCTGAAGGTGTTTTACCTTTCTGTTTGAATAGACATATCATAATTGTTTTTGATCTCACCAAAATTCTATTCCCCTTCACCATGTGTGTAGGATGTTTTTTCTGATTCTTGGCTTCACATCCCTGATAATCACAATATATACTATATGTGGAACACAGAGAGCACTAACTCACAAAACCCAAGAAAACAAAATTTTAGAATTACAGATAACACTTCCTTCATCTCATCCACAAGTCTTTAAGCAACCAGAGCAGACATACATGTTCGATTTCACAGCGGTCTCATTTCATGGCATCTATTTTTCACCTCTGCCCTGCAGTGCTTACCTTGGTGTGCTGGGCAGTGAGATAAAGACAGGTGCCAAAAGAGCAGTCAAGGTCACTGATCTTTGCCTAGGAAGTCTGCTGAACTTCCTGTCTCAAGTATGTGTGTGGTACTTGAAAAGATTCTAAATAAAATTGATTTTAGTCACACAACCACGATAAATCTGTGGTTTTCATTTGAGACCTCTTGTGCCAAAATCCTAGAGGAAATCATCGTCAAACAGAGCTTTCGGCTCTGTGTTTGCTGAGGAATTTGCATTTCTGTTTAGGATTTTTTTCCACTGAAAAGTATACCAGCATTCCCAACCAGGTTAGGAAGGTGGCCACACAGGGGAAGAAATCATATTGCCAAATCAAATCCCAGCTTTTTTGGAATTTACCAGCTAAAATTCATCAGATTTTTCTTATCCAAGAGGAAGTTCTGAATGCAGGAGGTAATACTGCCAAAACATGGCTATCTTTTGCATTCCGTATAAATAGTATAAACACTCCTGTTTAGAACCCTGCCTATTGGGATTCATTCACATCGCTTCTACTCAACATTCATGGATTGATCATCAAGATTAGGACACTGCCAGATCCAAAAACAAAGGTCAAGAAATCATCTTAATCTTACCCTTTCACTCTGCTCATTACAGTTGAGCACACACTGGCTGTTGAACTGAAAGCCGTTGGTACATTCATACATCCCCTCAAAGATAGGAGAAGGGGGCTCACACACCACTGGAATGCAGCTGCCTTGTTCCCAGATTCCACCCTCGAGGCACTGCAACTTCAGGAACTTGCTGATAAGACATAAAATAAAAGAGCCCATCAGAATGGAGAAATGGAAGAAAATATGACCCTCAGTAATATGTGATTAGGGTTAGCAAATAAGCAGAGCAGCTGGTTCTTATTAAATAAATGTCCTCTCTTGCTAGTCTAATTTCTAAATGTCAAAATAAAGATAGTACTGTGCATACAGTACTCACACTAGTAATAGATACTGTACAGTAATAATATTTTTATCAATACAGGATCAAAAAATATGTTCTCTGATGCTGGTTTCAGCATTATTTACAAGAGATAAAACATGGAACCAATCGAAGTGCCCAATGGTAATAAATTGGATTAAGAAAAGTGGTATGTCTAAATAATGGAATACTACTCTGTCATGAGGAGAGAGAAAATGTTGCCACTGACAGCAGACTGGAAGGAATTCCAGGAAATTATGTGTAGTAAAGCAAGTCAGAATGACAGAGACAAATACTGGACATTTATACATCATATGGTTCACAAGGAAAAATATTTGTAAAAACTAGTGGACATTAATGAACGAAGACTTTAGAGGTGAAGGGGAAATGGAGAAAGTGTAAAGGGATTCTCTATTATTAGCTAATTACTTAGACTCATATCTTTATTCCCAGTAATATTTTATAACAGAAAACAGATCTGATGACTTCAATTCTTTAGCAGCATGGCCTATGTGGACATTTAGATAATAATCTGTTAAAAACAACTACTAGTTTTAAGCTATATGGCAGGTACTTGGCAAGACACTTATATACATTATTCCAATGAATCTTCCAAACAACAGCTAAAGATAAACATTATCCTTCCAACTAGAGAAGAAAACAGAGCTGGAAAGATATAAAGATTGTTTAAAGATCCACCTTAAAATTGAAGACAGGGGCCCTCCCTGGTGGCACAGTGGGTTTAAGCACAGTACTAAGAAGCTAAAGCCACTTCAGCATGAGTTTGATCTCCAGCCCTGGAGGTGATCTGCATGGTGCAGCAGACCTCTCCTGACCGGCCTGCTGCTCCCCTTGGCGGTGTGCTTCCTCAGTCGGCTTGTTCTGCTCCCCACACTGTCTCTTATGAATCCTCTCACCAACACCAACCCCTGCAACCTACATCTCTGGCCTGTACCCAGTTCTTATATACGTAAATATTTTTTAAAAAAATGTCTTTCTAGGGGGCCCTCCTGGGTGGCACAAAGGATTAAAAGATGGCACTATGAAGCTAGCTGCAGCTGCTTTATGCCAGTTCGATCCCTGGCCAGGAGGTGTCCCACATGGTGTGGTAGATGTCTCCTAATGCACCCACTGCTCCCCTTAGCAGCGTACTTAATCAATCTGCCTGTTCTGTTCCTCACTCTGTCTCTGGTGAATCTTCTCACTGCCCCTGAACCTCTTGTTTGTACCCCAGTTTTGTATGCATAAATAAATTATTTTAAAAACATGTCTTTCTAAATTTATTTGTAATGAATGGTCTATAGTTCTTTTCACAATAATGAAGCTCATTTTTGTCCTCTTCCTAGACTGGATATTTTCCTCTTCTGCACACTGTAGATCATATCCTCCCAGGAACTCTGCTTTCTACCATCTCTCACATGAAATCTGTCCCCACCTCTGCTGACTCGCCATGCCCTGTTGGAGTGAGGAGGCAATAACCTGACTCCAGGGGAGAGGCCAGGCTGTGAAACCCTGCACGTCGGCATGGTTATAGAGGAAAACCCTTGCTTGGCCAGGATGAAAATATTTTGACTTCATGTGGTATTTTTTCTCTGAATTGGTTGGAACACTTCAACAATGGAAAGAGTCCTGCCTTTCCTTGCCCAGAATGAAGAATCATTCAAGAATGTCGACTTCAAGTATTTCCTTGCCAGTTTAATAACCTGAGGGTGAGGGTAGGGAGATCGCTCACATGAGGCATGTAGGGTGCTGTGAGTGGGACCCAGATACGTGACAGGCCCTCCAGAGTCAGTCATTAGTAATATCAGTAATAAAGAGAAGGAGGGGGACCCCAGAAAACACAGGGAAGTAACACAATTGTCACTGCGACTATGGACTCCAGAAGAGGAGAACATATAGAAGAGAGTGCTGATACCCCAGCAAACCCAGTGTTTTTTTTCTACAGGGGTTCTTAGGTCTCCTCAACCTCATGTGTTGTCCTTTCCTGGTTTTATAATTGTCTCACAATTTTTTCATGTCACTCCATCAGATGATATTTTTCAGTCCCCTCCCTCAGACTTCAAACAAAGTATTTGACTGGACAAATCCTTAAGGCCAAATAGTGCTGTCTCACTGGCTCCATGTCAATGTCAATCATTCTTGCTTATTGCACTAATCTTGAGACTATAGGTATGGTATGAAGCTCTGTACCCAAATGTCATGAGCTGGTCTTGACTACTACTTTTTCCAAAAAAGATTATGAATTTGAATTTGAAGTCAGGAATTTGAATTTTGAGTATACTAGATTCCTTCCAGCTTCTGGAGATTTAGTTCCCATGCAGGATCTTTGATGGGCTGTGAATTCTATAGCGATGACAGGATTTTGACCTCAAGTGCTGTAACAGTTCCCTGTGCATTTCTTCTAGTTGGATAATGCTAAGGAGTAATTTCGTGTTACAGAGAAAGGCAGGTGCCATTTCCCTGCCCTATTTAACACAGCATCTTGGATTGTAAGTCCCAGACTGCCATGAACTAGACTTCCTGAAGAGGGGAACTGCTGGGAACCAGGGTTTAAGCTGAGTGGCTAAGTAAAACTATAGAACATGGAAGGCAGGTGGGCTCTGAGGCTCTTGCTTCTCCAGCTTTTTGACTTACTCACGGGTATGGCTGGGCGGGGGAGACTTGGAAGAAGACACATAAATGAGGGACATATGAGACACTTGGAAGAAACATGGAATGAGAGACAAGTGGAGAGGTTATCCTTGGCAGGACAATGACAGTCATTGTCTTGATCTGTACTTGGATTTTGCTGCTTTTGTCTCAGGTTTGTCTACCCCTTTCTTGCTTTTCCCCACCAGAAGCTACCTTAGACTTGTGGCAGTTGGGGGCCTCCATGGCCCAGCTTTGAGCCAATCCTGTTTGCCTGGGCATTTGTGCATGAGGAGATGGCTGATAATCAGTTTTATCTCTATGCACATTAATTCTTTCATATGGAGATTCTGCTTCTTTTGCCTTTATGCATATGAATGGCAAATCCACTAGCACATGCACCCCTTAATAGTTTGGGGTCCCTTGGGTAATATATTAACACTGTCTCTTTGAAAATCATTAATGAAAACATCGATTTATTCATGATCGTCCAAATCTTTTGCATACAGTATATGAATTAAGAGCTGAGATACACTCTGAAATCATGAATGGTTTGTATTTCTAAGGATGATGAGATTACATGAGGCCAATGCAAGCAGGCAAGCCCTCACCATGACAGTAACTCCAAGACTTCTTTAATGATCCTGTCCAAGTCATCTCATGTGAAACATTCTACTCATTATTTTTTTTCACTTCCTCTATTTTCTTCAACTTAATGGAGCCTAAATTATCTCATTTTACAGGCAGGAAACTACAGATTAATAACCATGACATGACTTTCCCAATGCCATACAACAAATGAGTCACTTGAAAAAAAAAAAAAAAAAAGAATAACTTGAAGTTTTTTAATCATGATATAACACTTTGACCACGAGATCAATGGTTTCCAAATGATGTTTGTCAAGCAGCTCCATCAGAATCTTATAGGAGCCATTTAAGAACCAAGATTGCCAGGCCTAATGAATTAATTCTCTGGGGAGGAGGTTAACACTGGATACTTTTTTTTACTTGCCAGCAGTTTTTATATGCAATCAAGTTGGCATACTAGTAACTTTGTGTCACTTTCCTATTCTAGTAAAAATAAGCAATAAGCATGGAAATCAGAGAGCAAGATCACCGATCTAACAGTCGTGACCGAAAGGATGGATGATGTCTTTGCAAAGACCAAACAAGATAGCTATCATCAGACAGATTGTTCTATAAATGGTGTCATGAGGACTCAGGGGTAAGAGAAGATTTGTATTTATTTTCCTCTAACTACTCCAGACAAAGCACCACAATTTCCAAGTTAGAAGATGCTTTTCCAATTTCCAGAACTTGTGGCACCCACCTAGTGCTGAAAATCCAGCTGTGCTCTTTCTGCTTCTTATATCATTGCCAGAAATAAAGATCATGTAATCAAAACTTGGCTGAAAATTTGATTGATGTTGCTTGAGGCACACATGAATTTATCCCATCCTTCTATCACCACTGCAGGATTTTCAAAAGCAATATTTATTTTCCATTGGAGAAAATAAAATCATGATTTTTAAGTTCAAGAAAATTATCTTGTTTTTACCAATCAAAGGCATCTGGTGTCTTCAATAGGCAGTCCCTCATGAATAATAACAGCAGTAAAACAATAAATTCTTGAGCTCTGAAGTACTAGTCGTTGCACAGACGACTATATATCTATATCATGTTCTTCTCCAACACACCCTACCCTATGTGATAACTAAAACCAGAGTTCTTGGTTCTCTTATCTACACACATGGTCTTCCTTAATCCTTCCCAGTTCAGTGAATAATATCACCATCTGTCCTTTACTTAGGAGAAATCCTTGGTTGTTTCTTCTTACCTTTCTTTCCCCAGATGCCCAATTGATCTTATTCAATCTTTCAGTAAGTTTCCTCAGTTTTATCCCCAAACATCTCTGGCTTCACTCCTCCTACCTCCACACTTTCACTGCCATGGATACTAGCCCAAGTTCACTTCCTAAGTGGATATCCACTTCTCTACTCATTCCCTTCCTATTCCGTCGACAAACACCAGTCAGGAAGAGCTTTTGCAAAAACAAATAAAATAGGTCATGTATTTCCCTACTTAGAATATTTTGTTTGTCTTCTGTACATGAAATAAAATCCAAACTTCTCACTGTAAAGAATTATTTTCACCACCACAGAGCACTCTCATTTTCTATCTCTAATATTTGTGGTTTGTTATCA